ATTCCAAAGAAAGCAATTTTGTTTCACTTTTAAAATTTTTTCCTATTATAGTCAAACCGTGGATTGGGCTTCCTCAGAATACAAACGTTCTTCCACCTTCCCTTGTGAGAAGCTTCTTGGTGCACACTCAGAGGGAGAAGGAAATTTTGTTGTTGCATGCCAAAGCCCCTTTGCAAGTAGAAGCCCCAATTCTGGTTATAACTAGCAATGATGATGGAAGTGCTTTGTAGCTTCATCAAAAGGTTTTGGATCTAGTACAAAACTGGACATTTTTAGAGCTGGAAAAAGTTGCAAATGCCATCGTGACCAGCTGAGTGGCCAATCACGAGTTGCTTCCAGCAATAACTCCCTTTACAGTGCATGAAGGATACCATTACCCTATTCCCCTCCAGGGCTCTGATGCATTCAGGACAAAATCCATTCACCTTACCATTTCCAACAACACGGGTCTCTGCATCAACGCCATCTTCTACTGTTGTCTCTGCCCTTCGTAGTCTCAGCTATGCTCACCTTCTCTCCAGGTTCCCAGTCAGGACAAAGCTTGATCCTCCCTCAAGGCATTTGCCCTTACTGTTCCTTCCAGGAAGCTGCCCCTGATTGGCTTCATGTGCCTGGCTTAGCTCCAGTGTCACACACGCAGAAAATCCTTCTCCAACTATCTTAAACCAAGTACCACATCCAGTCAATTGCATTGCATCATTTCAATTCTCCACAGCAATTATCTTTAATTAACCCTATCTAGTTTGTTTCATCTCCCTCTAGCAGAGCATTACCTGCCTATCTTGTTTATTACTGTATCCCAGAGTAGACCCAGTGCCTGATACACACACAATAAGTGGCCAGTGCACACTTGTTGAGTGAATGAATAAATTTAATATCTTCTTTTTAAAAGCTGTGTGTCATCCAAACTTTTTGCAGCCGATATTCTACTATGCTCATTCCATAATCAAGAAAATGGAGTCTCCAAATCTGCTCGTCTAGTTTTTCATTGCTGCATAACAAACCACCTCAGACTGCCCTGGCTTAAAACAGCAAGGGTGCATTCTTCTCAGTTCTGTGGACTGGGTGGTAGTTCTTGCGCTGGTCTTCTCTGAGCTCACTCATGAGCATCTAGTTGGCAGAGCTGCTGCAAGGGCTAGGACAGTCAAGCATCTCTGGTCCAGTGGTGTTTCATCCCAGAGGCACCAAGTGGTCTTTCACCCCAGACGTCTTCACAGCATGGTAGTCTTAGTTCCAAGATGGGAAAAACTCAAGCTGCAAGGCCTCTGTGACTAGAGGTCACATAGCATCACTTCTGCTGGATTCTGCTTGTCAAAGCAAGCCACCAAGCCTGACCCAGATTCAAGAGGTGGGATATAGACTATATCTCTTGATGGGAGGGGGCCAGCCCAATGCTGAATTGCCACAGCCATCTCAGAAAATCCATGACAGCCGGTAAGTGCTGGAAGCAGCCTGACTGAACCTACAACTCGCTAAGGTACATCAAGGGACCACGACATTCAGCGGTAAAATTCTCCCTCGCATGTCCACTGGGGACTGGCGGGGAATTTGGGGCTTAACTCTGAGACTCTGATGATGGAACAAGCTCTCTTTCCTGCAGCATTGCCTGAATGGCACCAGTCCTGTGGCAGACGGGAAAGGAATACAGCCTCAAAACCTGTGCTGGGAAGGGATACCAATCATTTCCACCAAAGCATCCATAGCCGAACATATAGATTTAGCAACCTCTAACAAGAGGGCCCTTAAATTTACATAGATAGTGATCCCGCCTATCATAGAGTCTGTCTTCCTCTTCAGCCCCTTTTAAAAATGATGTTTTTAATTAAACTTATTCTACTTCTACCCCAAATCCAAGGGCTGCTGTCTCTCATCGGTTCTCTCTTCCTTCTCTTCTATGTGACACGCATCCCAGGCTTTTCAGCCACCCCTGCCTAGGGTCTTGCAGTAGCCCATTGGTCACAGCTCCAAGCCCAAACTCCCACCTATGTCCTCAACACCTCCCACAATATGGTTCCTGCCACCCCTACAGCCTTGTCCCTCTGCACCTTCTCTCTTAGCCCCTCGGCCTGGAGCCCTGCTAAATGGATAGCAAGCACTTCCTGAGTGCTTCCTGAGTGCCTCCAGACCTTGCTGCCTGTCTCTGTGTCGTTTCCACTTGCCTGCGGAGCCCTTTCTCTCTTCCCCACATGGTGAAATGCTCTTCCCTGTGATGATTTGCCTACAGCTCTCCCGCAGTACCTGTGGGGGATTCGCCCCACACCAATGCCCCAGGCTGCTCAAAGCCCTGCTAACAAATGGCATAGTATTTGCATGTAATCTATGCAATCCTCCTATGTAGTTTCAGTCTTCTCTATATCACTATAACAGCTAATACTATGTGAATGGGATATAAATAGTTATTGTACTATATTGTTTTTGTTCAGTAGGGGCTGGCTGGGGATTTGGGGCTTCACAAGGAAAAATGTCTGTAAGTGTCCAAGACATACATTCTCCTATTTTCAATCAGCATGTGACTGAATCCTCAGGTGCAGAAACTGCCGATTTGGGAATCCAATTACAATCTCCTTTCTGAAGATAATTCTCTTTTTCCCTTGGGACAACCGACTTTTTCATTTTCTAAACCTCTTAATTACAGCATGTATTCATTTACTCATTCAAGTAATGTTTATGGAGCATCTCCCAAGTGCCAGGTACTGTTTTAGGCTCTGGAAAGACATGGGGAACCATCTACACAGTGAGATTGAAAACTACTGTGAATGTATAGTTTTTTTAAAGTTTATTACATTGAAAAGCACTTTGCCATGTATCCCCCTTCGAAATAATCACCTTTCACTTTGAACACATTTATCGCATCATTCTTGCCACTTTCTGATGCAGTTCCCGAAATCCTCTTTCATGAGTATCTTTAGTTGCACTGTCTTGGCTGCCTTAGTATCCTGAATCTATTAAAATCACTTTCCTTTCCTGGTCTTCTGATGTTGGGGAAGACACAGAAGTTCTACAGTGCCAGATCTGGTCAATAAAGTGATGAGGACACACTGCACTGTTTTTAGGAGGCAGTCTTTCTGTCGGATGGCACGTCGCAGGAGAATTCACTATATTTTTGATCACACCTCATAAAGACACTCACAGAACAATTTTTTCAGAAAGTGGCAAGAAGGATGGGATAAGTGTGCTCAAAGTGAGGGGTGTATTAACAGGAAGATTAATGTCAATGTGTCTTCTATGGTAAAAAAATTTAAACATTCACCCTTTATTTTTATCACATCTTGTAGACAAGGTCCCTGCTCCTTCAAAAGTTGTATTCTAGTGAGGTAAAATGGAAAGAAGCATACAAACAAATGATAAACAAAATAACCTTAGACAACAACAAATGCGTTCATCGCAATCAAAAGGGCTATGAAAAATACTGTGGCCAAAGGTGACTGCTTTAGATAAGATTGGTAGAGATGGTCTGTCTGCGGAGAGCAGAGCAGCAGCACCAGCACCAGGTAACGTGGCCGCAGCCTCCCGCAGGGCCTCAGCTCAGGGTGGGGTCGTGGGTGGGCTGGCAGGGAGACGGGTTGAGCGCTGCTTGGGCTCCTGCTCCTGGATCCTTTGGCCTGGATCCTAATGTCCAGGCAGCAATAGCAAGAAGGAAGAGCATCCGTGGTAGAGGGGCCAGTTGGTGCAAACGGCCTGTGGTACAGAACAGGAACAAGGAGGAAATCACTGTGATTGAGGCTCACAGAGGTAGGCAGAGACTGGTGAAAGATGAGGTAGAAGAAATGGATCTTGCAAATCATGAGGACCTCTCAGCAGTGAAAAAGAGCTTACATCTTATTCTACCTATGAGAAATCCCAAGAGGTTAGAAGGAAGCAAGAGAATAGAGAGGCATGATCTGATTTATGCCTTTTAGAGAGCATCTGGGCTATTTTGTAAATCACAAGTGGACAAGAGAGACATCTAGGAGACCAGCTTGAAGGTTCCTGTTTTCACTCCAAGGTGATGGTGACTTGGCCACACTTGGTGCAACAATAGCCTCACTGGAAGCTGCGAGCGCAGAGGCAGAACTGCAGGCCTAGCACCAGACGCTACAGACAGTGGTTTAGGGCGTATTAATCAGTAGTAGCATATGTTTCAAATTTATGTCTCGCCGAAGCTTCCTGTAAAAGCTTTTTAGCTCTTCTCCAAGCTTTTGCAGAAATCCCCTCCATATAACACATTCCCCAAGCATCCAGGAGCCACCTCTCTGAACATTTGCCTCCCCTTCACCAGCTGGCAAGGTGCCCCAGTTGGCACAGCGCTCTGCCCACCCGTGCACACACTGAGATCTGAGCAGTCGGCACAGTGGCCCAGACATCTTGACATTTAGGAGATGAGATTCCCACCTGAGCCTCTACTTTCTCATCTGGAAGGTGGGTGTTATTTTCCCTATCCAAAAGTTCCTTTCCTCAAGGCCCCCTTTCTTTCTCTGCCAGTTGCCAGGCTCCGCCCCCATCCCTTCCTCCTTCTTCAACTGGAACAAATCCACGCCAGGATTTTTTTTTAAGTTTTGCTGACTTTTTTCTTTAATTAATAACTGCTAGATGAATTGATTTCTGTGTGCCCTTTATCCTCAGGCCTTCTGCGTTTCCACATTTCAGAGCTCAGAATTATCCAGGTCCTCTCCTTTAAAATAGTCCAGCAGCTGAGTCCTGGGCTTTCAAGGTGAGCGCTGCCACCTATGACGGGTCTCCTGCCTCGACCCGCAGGGCAGGCCAGGGGCCAGCCTGGGTCATAGCTGGGGTCCCCTCCACTTAGCCGATGTCGAGGGTGGACACTGAGTCTGAGGGAGAAAGTGTCAGAAAAAGCAAAGGAGCTTGTGGGACAGAACGGAGGACAGGGAGAGTGGGGAGAGTGTGGGTGCGCGCGTGGGAGAGGGAGAGAGAGGAGGGAGGGAGGGACACAACGGAGGGAGGAGAGGGAGGGAGGGAGGGAGGGAGAGAGAGCGCTGGAGAGGGAAGGAGCGGTGGCGAGCTAGGAGGAGCAGCGAGTGGGGGCGGAGATGAGGAAGTGGGTGCTAGGCGCGGGCTGTGCGCGCCGCTGGCTCCATCCCTGCCCCGGGCGCAGCAGGCGCGGGCGCCGGCCACTGCCGGAGCGCAGCAGCGGCAGCAGCAGCAGCACCAGGTAACGTGGCCGCAGCCTCCCGCAGGGCCTCGGCTGGGGTGGGGTCGTGGGTGGGCTGGCAGGGAGACGGGGTGAGCGCTGCTTGGGCTCCTGCTCCTGGATCCTTTGGCCGTCATGGCCCCATCCCTAGTTGCAGCTGGGGCCCCCTGCTTGCTCCTGGCGCCTGACCTTGGGCGAGCGCCTCACCTGCGAGCCTCAGTTTCCTTCTTTGCCACCCTCGGGGATCTCACCCGCCCCAAGGGGGCGTTGCGACCAAGGAAAGCAGCGTGAGCCCGCGCCGGTGCAAGGGATGTGGGGTCCGCCTTTAGGTTCCCTGTGCCAGCGTAAGGTAGGTGTGGAAAGTCCACCAGCGCTGAAACAGTCCCTGCTTTGTCCCCCGGTCTGTGTGGCAGCATGTCCTAAGGAGATGTGTCAGCGAAGCACCAAGAGACTGTGAGCTTAGGGAATGAATGCCCCTAGAAGGCCTGGGGCTGGTGGGGAGAGGACTTCCAGGCTTTTAGGAGGACTGGCCTTTGCTTTCTAGAGCTGCTGCCCTATGCACGGGGCGAGAACCGAGCTCACTGGGCTGCTCGCGACTCCTGGGGGACCAGGACAGGCAGGGATACTCCTGCAGGATGAGTGGGGCTAGTGGCCTCAGCTCTGCATCCCACCATGGTTGTTTGGGGTAGCACTGTGACCTTGAACCTATGAGCCTGATTTTTAGGTGAAAAAGCCCACGTTAATGATCCCTTTGAGGTAGGTAGGATAAGGGGGTGGGGCAGGAAGGTGCTTGTGAGCTTTGGTGTCCCCCAGTGGCAGGAGTCATACCCCTAACTTAGGTGGCTCAAGGCTGACCCATGGTTGTTTCCCTGGAACTCATTTGTACAGGTCGGGTCCCCTCAGTCCCCTTGCCAGAAATGGACAATGGGAAGACTGGGGGGCAGTAAGCATGAAGCAGAGTCTAGGGAACTAGTATCCCGCTGCCCACCCTGGATGTACACCCTCAGCCTGGTGCTTCTTTTAAGACGTGATATCTCCCAGATGACAGTTTCTGTCAAACCTCAGTTTTCTTATTTATAAGAGGAAGTTATTAATTCCTGCCTACTAATGAGTTCCCTGTCTCTAGAGGTTATAAAAAGTAATTGAATAGATTTCATTTGTTGATACCGCCTTTCTTGGGATGTAAGGAGAATTGGAAATAATGAAAGAATAACCTTTCTCAAGCAGATGCTCTGTGCAGGCCTGATACTAGATGGATTATGCATACAGTGGAGGCTACAGTCATCACAGCAGCCTGAGGAGCTAGTGCTGTCAATCCCCAGTTTACAGAGGAGGAAACCAAGGCTTGCCAAAGTGACTTCCACATAGTACGAAATGCCTGCTGTGGGATTAGACCAAGGCCTGCCTGATTGGGAGTGCTTCTGGTGGTGCCTTACTGACCCCAAAATATGTCTGTGGAGAATGCGTAGACCAGTGCGTGGCACCTGCCATGTGGCCTGAACGGTGTTGGTTTCTGTTCTGTGTGTAATAGGAAGAGCCATTACATCATAACTGGAGAAAGTGAACCCAAAGGTTGGCAGTGGGATGTGGGTACCATTGACAAGCAACTTCTCAAGGGGTCTGCAAGGAGGACGGTTACCACTCACTACCACATAGGAGACTGAGAGCGGGCTGACTTGTCCCAGCCCAGTAGGCCAGCTTCATCATCTGGTCCCAGTTCATCTGCCTGTTAGCCCCAGCTTTGATTGCTTCTCTTGGGTTCACTGGCAGGAACTTTTCCCTCCCTGTCCTAGGCGGATGACTAATTGAACTGACCCTCCCACCCAATATATCTATGGGGAAACAAGACCAGCTGTGGTCCTTCTCCACCAGTACACCAAGAAGGAAAAACAGGATTAAGGTCCATTCTCAAGGATTTAGCTCAGCCTTGGGAAAGAAATCCCTAATGGTGGGGAAGAGGGCTTCTCAGCAGGTCAGAGAGGTTCCTTTGCCAAAAATGTTTTAAAAGAAGAGAACATCAATATGAAATGACAGGGATGTAAACAAGGGTGCTCTCAATTGCCATGATATTCATCAACAGGCAGCGTCTAAATGTCCAACAATAAGGACAGCCATGTGGCTGTGGAAAGGGGGCGGCTTTTTCAGAAAGTGAGCATGCCCATGCATTTGCATATACATGGCACTGTCCCAAATTTGTGGGAAGAGTTTAGGAAAAAAGACAGGACAGAAATAGACTAAAGAAGGTTAAGAACATTTGCCCGTAGATGTTAGGATTATGGGAGACGTGTTCCCTGGGCTTTGCAGATGTGATGGAATGTGCCTGTGGTCTAATAGGCAGCAAGCATAGACTTGCTGAGCTCCTAGTGCTGAGGCCTTGCTGACAGAAGGGAGGCGGGCATTGTGTGTACGGCTCTGTGCACGGCACCCAGTCTGCAAGGGCCTCCAGGTCCATCAAGGAGACTGAACTCTCTCTTGGCAAAAGTAGTGTTTACCAGATTGAATTGTTCACCATGTTCTTGTCTTCTGTCTTGTCCCCTCTGATTCTGATTCATCCTTTATCTCACTGTCAGTTTGATAATGCAGATCTGAGAATGTTTTTCCCCTTTCAAAACTATTCAGAGACTCCCCTTTCCCACATGAGTCAAGTTCAAAGTTTTTAGATGGGACTTGGACATGCGTGGCTCATCATGTCTAGTCTCCGCCCCGCCTCGCCTCCAGTTGCCTCACCCTACCAACTGCCCACTGCTCCATCTACAAATGCCTGGACCCAGCTGGCTGAATTAACATGGTCTTTCTCTCCTCTCAGGCTTAGCACTTGCAGATTCCCTTGGCTGCAACGCCCTCTTTAGCTTGTCAGTCTGCTTCTTACTCATCTTCCAAGATTCCATTGAAACCAGCTCTTCTGGAAACCCAGAGCTTACAGATGTGCTCCTCCTGCAGGACTCCCCAAAGATGGGGACAATAGAACCACTCACCCTCTTCCTCTCCAGCACCCAGAGAGCAGCACAGGCAGGCTTGTCCGTGATAAGGCTACCTCTGTGTTTAGGCCTAGCAGGCCCTTTAGCAAAAAGAAGGGATGCTTAATTAGCAAAACCAACAATAGCTGACATTTGTTGTACTCCTGTGCGCTCATGATTACCCTGTGAGATAGGTATTATCTGTGTCCTCTTTTTCAGAAAGGAGACCAAGGGTCAGATACATTCAGGCACTTGCCTGAAGTCACACAGGATTCAAACTCTATCTAAATCCAGCTCCTGTGCTCCTAGCCAGAGTCAGGGAGGGTGAGCAGGTTCAGTTAGCCGGTGCTGAGGCCCGGTGCAAAGCCGTGCGCCTCTGCGCTGTGCAGTGCATGGTGACCTTGAAATGTTAGGCTCTGTGCTGGATGTGCGGGGCCCCAGTGTGCTGGAAGCTCACACAGGAAGAGGCCGGGGATGCCGCGACACATGCCATAGTCCACTCCGCAGCCCCTCCCTACAACAGCAGAGAACGGTCCTGTCCAACATGTCATCGGTGCTGCAGTTCAGAAACTCTGGGTTAGCGGAGAAGGGCACCAGCACATGGCCTCGTGCACTCCGGGGGCTTTGACCCTGCACCTGCTCTGCTGGCCACCTGGCCTCCCCCTTCTGCTCTGTCCCCACCAACAACCAGGGTGATCTTTTAAAAAATAACATAAAATTTACCAATTTAAACTATACAGGTCATTGGTTTTTAGGATCTTTTCAGAGTCGTGAAGCCATCAGTACTATATAATTTGAGGACATTTTTGTCACCCCAGAAATAAATCTGTATACATTAGCAATCACTCCCATCCAGTCCCCACCTCTTCCCACTCATTAATCTACTTTGTGTCTCTTCTGTTTTCCTACTTTAGACATCTCATACAAATGGAATCATGCATTATGTGGTCTTTGTGATTGTCTTCTTACACTTAGTATAAAGTTTTCAAGATCCATCTGTGCTGTATCGTGTCTCAATACAGCGGGCTTTTTTATGGCTAAATAATATTCCATTGCATGAGGAATTCAGTACCACATTTCATTTAGCCATTCATGAGTTGATGAGCATTTAAGTTGTTTCCTTTTATTTTCTGCTATTATGTATAATGTTGCTATGGACATCTGTGTACAGGTCTGGATACCTATGTTCAGTTCTGTTGGGTCTGTACCTAGGAAGAGAACTGTGAGGTCATATGGTAGTGCTGTGTGTAAACTTTGTGGAGAAATTGCCAGACTGTGTTCCAGAGCCGTTGCACCAGCCCTACCAGTTTCTCTGCGTTGTCTTTTGGATCACGGCCCTTCTGGTGGGTTGAAGTGGTAGCGTTGTGGTTGGGATTTGCATTTTCCTGCTGGCTAATGAATTTGGAATCATTCGGTGTGCTTGCTGTTTGGTGCCTTCTTTAGAGATTGGCCTCCTCAGGTCGGAGTCATCCTCGCTGTTGTTCCCTTGTGTACACTGAAGCAATCTCCACAGACATCTACAAGGCCCCGCCCCACCGGGCACTGCCTTGGCCTTGGCTGCGTCTCTCCTGATCCCCTCTCCAGTCCTTTGCACTTGCTACTTCCTGTGCCCTGCTAGCCTGTGCATAGCTGTCCCAGGGCCACCCTCAGAGCAGCCTGCTCCGGCCTCCCCACCTCAGGATCTGCCCCTCAGCCCCTCTCTAACACATCTCAGAATTTCCTATGATCACTTCTTCCTCCCTGATAAGATCTTGAAGACCTGGGCCCCGGGCCTGACTACAGCGTTCTGTCATTGTAACAACCTAGGCAAACCACTTCCTCTCTCTGGGCTTCAGCCATTCCCTCAGAAAATCACAGGGGTCATGGCTGGCTTATCTCAAAGGGCCTTTCCAGCTCTCCTCTTGCTCGATGCTATGTGACAACCAAGAGGTCGTGGGTCTGGGGCTGCCACAGTGAGAGAAGAGTGGTCAGGGCTAAGCTGGCCATGAATGGGAGCAACAATGTCCCCAGCCCCATGGGAACGGTCCCCTGGAGGCTGGGGCTGCAGCAGAGCTCCAGTTTAAG